GAGCAATGCATCAGAAATGGCAGGGACTTGAACTAAAGCTCTGTATGGAAGATGGAGAGAAGGTCATGGATGCCAAAGCTGCCAAGGAATTAACAGCTCTAGACATGGTGATTGGTTGGATGTGAGGGTTGAAAGAGAGAAAAGCGTTCAGGGCAATGCCAGATTTTCAGGTTGGGATGATGAAGGGATGTTGAGGGCATTCCTGAGACAGGAATTCAGGGTGGGAACAGGACTGAAGGCTAAGATAACAGAGAAATCCAACTGCCTATGGGACATTCACTCTCAGGCACCTAAAAGTGCCTGTGATTTCACTTATATTTACGGTGCATGAGAATGAATGCCCCAAGGGAGTTAGATTTCTGAGGCCAGGCCAAAAGACAGAAGGCTGGATCTGTATTTTTATGTTTCCAGCTTTTAAATAGCAGTTGGACTTTAGAGAAGAATAAGAATGAGGACTAGCTGTGTGATAGCTATGCATGTTGCACATTTTCTCAGTCCAATAAGCAGCCTGAGTGTGGACGAGCTTCCTCCAAACACTGCGATTACTTTAGACCTTGGGATCTCCTGGCTCAGTGTGTTGCTCCTATGTTACAAACACAGTCAGTGCTTAATAAATCTCTATAAATTTGTCTTTATGTTTTTATAAATTCATTTGATCAGAAGGAAAAAATGATTTATCTATTCTATAGAGATTTCTATGAATGAAACCACTGGTCTAGGAATAAAAATGTCCAGGCTTTATTATTATTTTTGCTGCTAACTTGTCTGTAATATAGGAAAAATCCCTTTCCCTCCCTTATTGTCAATATCTGCATCTATAAAATTATGGGATAGAACCCCTTCCAGTTGTAGTATTTTATACTGTTTATAACTTTCAAAAGGGAAGCATATATCTCACTGGAAGTTTTAACCAGTAGTTTACAATTCTTTAAAAATATCCAATATGCAAAACTCCTCCTAATTCAGTGCAGTCTAATGTAGTAAAGGAGAATTTCTCCTTTCTGCCTAGTAATTTTCTCAGCAAGAGGATTTAATTGTTATGTGGATTCTGAAAATGAAGATGGGCTAGAATCGGCATTATACCTCAGATAAATAATGATCCCAAAATAGCATGTTTGTATAACTAAAGGGGAGAGAATTGACTGAAAATGAAAAATAACTAATTCCTGCAAAGGTGCTGCTTGGGAATTTTTTTTTGAGAGAACTTCTGACTAAGGTACAATTTATTCATTGATGCTTATTTATTTGTTTTTTTGCTTGGGGAAAAAATAGATTTGGTGAAATTTTTGCACCTAATAATAAAACCAGAAGACTTGCAACAGTGTTTCTTTAAATATCTTTCATTAATTTCTGTCTGTTTACACTGAAAAAGAAAACTAGGCTAGAACTTATTAATTGTTCATCTGTACCTAGAGATTAAATATATAAGCCTCACTGAAAGAGTTTTTTGATGCATATCTAAGAAATATTTGTTTTATAAATTTAGTATGGTATACCTCTATGATATTAAAAACGATTAACTAGATCATCTAAAAAAGAAAGAATGAAAGAAACAGAGAAAGAAGAGATGCTGTTCCAAAAACCTCAACCTCCACCAGTTGAAGGCTTTCTTTTTCAATTATGTTCAGTATATTTGAAAATAAGTATCAATAAGTAAGTAGGTTAAATTTATGTCAGTAATATTTTAAGGAGTCATTTTAAAAACATCAAAATGGACATCTTAATTTCCAAAGGGAACAGCTTTTGTTTGACCTAAAGTAAAATGTTATTGAAATCTTCTATGAAATTTAACTCCATTTCACCTAATTTCTTATCATGATTTTGTAACAATTTAAAAGCTGGTATGATTTCTAATACATTTGTGTTTGATTAAACCAATTAATTTCATTAACTACTCATGCCTTCCTCGAACATAGTGAAGTGGCCCAAGTGATAACCTGAGAGACAATGACAAATAACACCAAAAACCAATTCTGTGTTCAGATATGTCGGGAAAAGTAAGCATATTTCTTTACCACAGCACTTTTCACAACCCTTGTATGCTAATGTGTACTTTGAATCTTTAAAGAGAATTTGCATATCCAAATGAATTTGACCCTATACGCTTTTCTTTCCCCACAGACCATCTCTTGTAACTAATGAACTATAGAATACATACTGCTGCTCTTCAGCCTCTAAAATCTATCCTTGAGTTAACTGGCCCAGCAGAGAGCTACAACAGCAGAACTGTGGCACATCCCAGACCCCTAAGCTACATTTAGTGAATTGGCTTTGGCATGATATAAGCCCCCAAATACCAACCGGTAAAAAGCCTCATACATGTGGCTGGTTTTTGTAAGGATGGCGGATAATGCTGTACACAGATGGTCTTCTTCATGAGGATTCATGGGAGCGATTTCTCTCAATTCTCAGCCTCAAGTTGCTGCTTCGTTTCTATGCTTCAGATGCAGTGAATCAGAATTTCCTCTAAGCATTGGTTGCTAAACTGGCTGGAGCCAACTTTGTGGCTGCCGCTTACAAGCACAGAGCAAGAACATCATATCTTTTGTTTTAAAAGTAACCTCATTCCTGACTTCTCTCTTTTCTTTCCCCTGACTTGATTTCCCAACCACAAAATTTTACTTTGATTGCATCTAGTCATGTTGTATTTCTTTTTAAAACCATTTTACATCCCTTCTGGGTGGATGAGAAAGGAGGAAAGGGGAAGAAATGGTAGAGGCATCAATGGAGAGGAAAGGAAGAAAAAAGTACACATGTATGCTTTGTGAGACTTCCCGCTTCCTTCTTCCGATGTATTTCTCAAATCTTAAAGTAAGAATAGCTGAGATGTTTTTAAAAACAAATAGTTTTTAAGAAACTTATGGCAAAATGGAAATCGATTCTAAGTATACCAAGGAACATAAAATAAGCTATACTTAGAGAGAGGTGGAAGCAAAGTGCACTGCCTGTGATAACAGAGAAAAGAGTTTTCACAGGATAGATGAAAGACATGATTTCAAAGCCAGGTTCTCAGATAGAGGAAGGTCACAGATGAGAACAAGAGACTGGGAGGAGAGAGGTGATTTGTTGCAGGATATCATAATTTTGGTGGAACAAGAAATGGGAATGAAGCAATTGGGAGAAGAAATGAAAGTTCAAACTGCATCTCTGAATCAGAGTTCATTACAATCAGGAAAGCCAAAGAACAAAGGATTAATGTTTAAGTAGTAATGTTTTATGAGAATCACGCCTTGACTATATATACCTTGTATTTAGCCCCATGTGCACCTTGTACAACTTGTAATGCACTCCTGCTGTGTCATTCCTCAATAACATGACCATCTACTTTGACATGAGAAAGGGGAAGGATTACTCCTTTAAACTGTAGTTACCTAGGACTTCACTGATTATGCTTCTCTATTGAGCTGAAGCAAGGATATATAAACCTGGCTAAGTTTAGCTTTAGAAAAAACTTGATCACACAAGTAAGAGATAAAATGATAAGTTAAACAGGCATAAATCTCAACACGAGAAGAGATCTAAGTAACCGAACCTCATAAATTTTATAGGAAGAAACTGAGGGCCTCAGACAAGTGACTTGGCATTTACTCAGCTCATGAATTGCAGTTCAAATGAAGATAAACAAACAATAAAACAAATAAAACAAAACACAAAATGTAGAAGAATTTCAAGAATAAGATAAAATCCGCATTTTCTAAGGAAGCCCTCAAGGGCCACCCAAATGGACCCTACCAACATTCTCCAGCCTCGCTGTTACCTAATCTCCAATCCTTTATACATTCACCCACCACCAAATGCCCCTTCTCCCTGCCATCACTCTAACACCTCGGTTTGACCCTGCAGCCATATTTACAATGTCCCTGCCCTTTCTTTGTCATTCTTTACTTAGCTAACTTCTACTCACTCTTTAAGGTTCAGCCTCAGCCCTGTTTCATTTGGAATATCTTCCTGGGCTTGCCTCCATCATCAGCCCCGGTGAGGCACCCACCCTTTCTATGGTTTCCATAGCACCACATTCATCACTGCACAGTGTGTGAGAGCATGGGTTCTGCATCAAATCGCCAGTGTTCAAATCCTACCTCTACCCTTCATTGTCCTGTGTGACTTTGGGCAAATCACATAATCCCTCTGTGCCTCAACTTAAGCACCAATGAAATGGGAATAATAATATATCTATCCTCAAAAAGATATTATTTTATATTAAAAGAGTTTATGTAAAGTTCTTAGAAAACTGCATGCCACATAGTAAGTGCTTAATACATGTTAGCTACTACTATAATTATCTCCACTACTGGTCTTATGAAAAATATCTGTGAGCTTCTTGAGGCAAGTGAGAATGACTTATTCATCTTTGTTCTCCTGCCTCTAGCATGGTACCTGACACATAGTACATGCTAGTAAGTATTTCATAAATGAATCAGTGGTTGAAAAAAGTCTATCTTTTTTTGGTCATTTAGTTTGCAGAGGTGGCTTAGGGTAAGGCTTATATTTGAGAAATGGTAGTAAATTGGAGAAATGAAATAGGCCGATTACGTTTTGAGGCAGATAGATCGGGCTTTATACCAAAATATTGAAGACTTCTATGAGATACTCTCCTTTATACACCTAAATCCATGGCTATTACCAGAATCCAAATGCCAGGTCTAACAGAACAAGGAAGGGAATTTAAATTATTCATCCATTATGTCAAAGTGAGCCCATTCTTACCTCATGCCCAGAAGTCCTATATAAAATCGTCCTCTTTATATACTATGAAAAGTCATTATTATTATGCTTATTGTTAATATTATTAAAAGGTGATTTTAATATTAAATATTAATGTGTTATATTATCATTTATGAACTGATGATCTAATTATTAAATTTGATTGATTTTATATTAATGTTAAATATTAAAAGGTAGCTCAGAAAGAATATTTTAAATGAAACTAATATCAAAATCCAGTGAGAATCTGTTGACCTTTTTTATAAACATTCATGTTCGAGTAAAATCTTTCCTACCTCTTTTCCACTGAATGGCCTGAGTGGATGTTTATCAGCAGGAATAAAGGAAAGAATAATGAGCTTCAAATACAACTATCTGTCCTTGTGACAGTACAAACAACAAGAATAATCTGTCCTGTGTGTTGTATTCCCATTTAAAATAAAAAAAATTAGCTTCTATATCTTGCTGGAGCTCTGATTCCATCTCATGAATGAACTTTTGTCCTTCCGGGCCTATTGTTTGGTTTGTACATACGCAGCCTGGAGCTTTGTAACCAAATATGGAGGGTGTAGTGATCATGAAAATTAACAATAGATGTAAAGACTAGAATCTGACAACACTGACAAAGAACAAAGGACAACATATTATCTATTGTAATTTCTAGTTGGGGAAAACAAGACAAAACTGTAGCTTATTAGGATCTAGTCTCATTCAACTTGGGATTTAAAGTAAAACAAAAACAAACTATAAGTTATTGTTTGATTTTCTCCTTAATCAGACAAGGAGTTTTAACTTTGGAAGAAAGGCTAAGCTGATGATAAAGTAAAAATTGTAGGTGATTGATCTCCAATTTGACAATCCCCAAATCTACCTGTACACTTTTCTGCTTCCTATCACCCATCTCTTAAACTTCCATTGGTTGTTAAATGGTCTTTTTAAGGGTAACCCCAAGGAGACACAAGAACCTATGTCCCCATGCTCCAGATAACCCTAGGGCCTAGTTGGAGATTTGGAGAGATTTACTGGAAATATCAGCCCCAAATCTACTTAGTGCTTTTCAACTAAAAAGAGAGGTTTAAAGGCATATATAGAAGACTCAAAGGAGAGGATGGTTTTTCAAGATCACAGACAGGCCTCATCGAAGTTTAGAAATGACCCCTTTAATTCTTTGGCACCCTGACAGGTGAATCAAACAAGGGGTTTCCCATCGTCCCTTCAGTTCCCTCTACTTTTCACCTTATTGTCCACCTCCTCTCCACTGTCACTACTACTATTAGGGTACTCATGATCTCTTCCAAGAACTATTTTCATATCCCTACTTATTGTGTGACTCTGGGTGACACAGGGATTACTATTAAACAGTTTCCTTCTCTTCATAATGGAGTTAAATTTAGAATCCACCTCAAAAGAATGATGTCCAGATTAAATTATATAAAAATGTTAAATCTAGCATATAATTAATAAATGTTTGGTAACATAATAGAAATCAATATTTCTAAGGCATACTTTCCATTGCTTGATTTCATAAGAAGAATGCAAGTTTTAATTTTTCAAATTACCATAAAAGACAGTGATTTTTTTGTTGCTGACACAAACAACATCTATTTTTTCCAAAACAAAAGTTAGATCATGCTGGAGTAGCACAGAAGCACAAGAGAAGCACATGATCCAGTAATTGTGTGGTAAGGAAGTTTTTGAGTAATGACTTCTGGTCATTTGAAGAGCTCTAATCACAGGGTTTAGATGTTCACAGAGCAATTATCAAGAGGCCATTTACTACTGAAAAGGACATCTGTCCTGAAAAATGTTAGAAACTTCATTTATAACATTATTTCCACTAATGATGATTATGTCAAGGCAATAATAAAAGTTTTTATACCTGTTTGTAGACTTTAAGATTTAAACGTTTTAAGACAATGTGAAAACAATTGGAATGTGTCCCCAGCTATGTAACTAAAGATAAACAGTAGCCAAGTCTCACTGGATGACCCAGTTCTGGTACAAGCTTCTGTTACAGTTGATGCTATACTCTTGAGAGGAGCTTAGAGCGACTGTGTAGTTCACAAACTGTGCAAATCAAAGTTTAAATTCTTAGCTTATCTAATAATTGATTTATTGTGTGAGGTACAATAAATAGATTAACCACTCTGAAATTTATTTTCAAAATAAAATGAACTCTGCATGTGCTCCTAAGTGATACAGAGAAACTCACACTAGGATGTCTTGAGGTTTTCTGAGATGTTTATTTATCCTTTGTTTCAACCTGAATAGTTAGAATTAATTAGAGTAAAATAAAATTAATTATCTAATTAGAATAAAGATAAGGTATTTCTACTTTCAGTCAAAAGTAAATATGTAGAATCAATTTTATGGAAAAAAGTTTGCCAGGATTTACTAAATTCATGGCTGTTTTTTTTCCCTTATTTTGTTTAGGATAAACATAGGCTTCTTCCTGCATGTCAATACAGAATTACATTTGGCAAGCATCTCCTGTTTCCAGATGATCCTGGCAATTCATTGGTTGGGATACTGATGTTAATTAGTGCAAGTGGGTCAGCAGCTCTTACTTCAGTTGATCTGAAAATCAGCATCTTTAGATGCTTTTCCTCTGTTCTTTCTTCCTTCAGAAGAAGGACACAGTTTTCACCTTGGAAAATCAATAGAAGAATTGCAGGCCAAGAACTCTATGCCAACAGAGTTCATCTGTGAACAACCAAAGAATGAAGCCAAAAGAATGGTTGGTTCATTTTGGTTGTAATGTACAATTACTTAAAGGCGTTCCTATTGAGGAGATCTAATCAGAAAAAGAATTAAATCACCCCTGCCAACAAAATTGCTTATGCAGGTAAATAGAAACCAAAAGTCAGTGTATGATAAAGAAGAAAACTGCCACTTGAGGAATAAAAGCCCAGGTAGTGTGACTGAGAAGTTACAAACATTTAGTACTGCCAAGAACACCAGTTGGCCCTTTTGGTAGTTTTCCACGGAGGTTTTACATTCAGGTTAGCCTGTTGACATGACCTGAACTCGCCTTGTATTTGCTTTCATTAAGCCCTGGGGATTACATATTTTTCCAAATGCTACAGTCTAAATATCAAGTAAATTTCAAACTTCAGGTGAAATGTTTTAGGCAAGTAGGTGGAAACTATTTTGAAGGTCTCTTTTAATCTTGTAATTAATTTCTTGAGTTTATTGCTTAGAGCTTTAGTCCTAGAGATTATCCTGTAAAAAGCTTAACATTTTCTTTCTAGGGTAAGAGGATCTCTCAGGAGGCTAAATTTAATAAATTTTGTTGTCAAAATGTCAATAAGCAAATACCAATTCAATGATTTTCTAATCTAAGTTATAGAAATAGAAAGCAGAATGGTGGTTTCTAGGAACAAGAAAAGTAGAGCTGATAAGAAAATGTAGAGTTTCCTGTAATCCCAGCACTTTGGGAGGCTGAGGCGGGTGGATCACAAGGTCAAGAGATCGAGACCATCCTGGTCAACGAGGTGAAACCCCGTCTCTACTAAAAATACAAAAAATTAGCTGGGCATGGTGGCGCGTGCCTGTAATCCCAGCTACTCAGGAGGCTGAGGCAGGAAAATTGCCTGAACCCAGGAGGCGGAGGTTGCGGTGAGCCGAGATAGCGCCATTGCACTCCAGCCTGGGTAACAAGAGCGAAACTCCGTCTCAAAAAAAAAAAAAAAAAGAAAATGTAGAGTTTCAGTTATGCAGAGTGGGAGTGGGAAGAGCTTCTAGAGATTTGTTGTACAAAAATTTGCATTTTGTTCTATCCAAGTCTCTCTCTAAGTATGTGTTTTTGTGTGTGCATATGTGTGTAAAATTTTTTTGGTCAGCGACTTAAATGAGGACAGAAATACTGTATTTGGCAAACTGACAAACTTACTGAATAAGTGGTCATTGTGATCAAACGGAGGCAGAGGAAAAAATATGTTAAAAATGACTTTAAAGTTATGATAAACAGCTCTAACAAGATAAAATGTAATAAAGAATTTATTAAATATAAACACAAACATAAGCAAAATACAAAATGTATTTCTATATTTTATACATTATGGTTATATAATATATAGATAATATATAAATGTTATACATTAATGAAATAACAAAAATAATATATAAATATATAATCAAGCATAAAAAATGTAAATGTATAAATACAAAACCCTTCCCATCAATAATCCCAGGTTCAGGATAGCTGCTTATGGCTAAGTAGTTTTTATGTGAAAAGCAATTTGATTTTGTAGTTGCCATCAAAACTTACATGAGTAATGTGATGCGGCTGGGCTAATAATTAATGAACTGAGCTACACACATAAAATTTTAGAGCCCAGAACAAGAAAATAATTTTTTTTCACACTGAATTATGTACATGCTAGAGGACCATTGAATTTGTGTGTACATTTCAGGGAGACATACCTACAAGGATGTTTGGAAACTTTAATATTAAAAAGACAGAGAAACAGAAAAATGTAGATGATTTTGTGTGAAGAAGTAAGCCTTCAAAATTAAATGATATACTTGTGGGAGTTTCTTAAAGATCACTGGGTTTGTAAATGCTGAGAATTAGATAAATTCCTTTGCAGTTCCATAGAACAGAATGGAAATAAAAAGTGTAAAATTATATCAGCAAATAGATGCTATGGTTCTATCTACGTCACAAGTTTTGGGAAAGAAGAGGTGCTATGGTTTGAATGTGTCCCCCAAAAAGTATGTTTTTGAAACTTAACCCCAGTGCCACAGGGTTGGGAGATGGGGCCTAATGGGAGGTTTAGATCAAGAGGACTCTGTCCTCATGAAAAGATTAATGCAGACTGTAAAAGGGCTTGAGGCTTCAAGTTCTATCTCTTACTCTCTCTCTCCATCTCTTTGCCCTTCTACCATGTGATGATGCAGCAAAAGACCCTCGCTAGATGCCAGCCCCTCAATCTTGGACTTACCAGCCCCCAGAACCAATAAATTTCTGTTCATTATCAATTACCCAGTCTCAGGTGTTCTGTTGTAGCAGCACAAAAGGGACGAAGACAAAAAGCAAAGGTTTATGTAAGAGATATACAGTGCCTGACACCTGAAAGCCACTCAATGCATGGTAGCAGCTATTGTTGCTATTAAAATCATTTTGTTTATTTATGGAACGGGGGGTGGGTATTATTTCTCAGACCCTTCTCATCAATTCTCCTACTTCTCTGAACATAAATTTAACATAATTAAGTCTTCTTCAATTAATTGTTTTATATATATATATTCTTAAATACATATTATGTGGCAATGAAGTAGATGAAGACAGTTATTTAGAAAGCCAATAAGAATAAAATTTACGCTCTTTTCCGGTCCTAGGCGCTTCGGGAACCGCGGCTTAGGTGCAGACATGGCCAAGTCCAAGAACCACACAACACACAACCAGTCCCGAAAATGGCACAGAAATGGTATCAAGAAACCCCGATCACAAAGATACGAATCTCTTAAGGGGGTGGACCCCAAGTTCCTGAGGAACATGCGCTTTGCCAAGAAGCACAAGAAGGGCCTAAAGAAGATGCAGGCCAACAATGCCAAGGCCATGAGTGCACGTGCCGAGGCCATCAAGGCTCTCGTAAAGCCCAAGGAGGTTAAGCCCAAGATCCCAAAGCGGGGTGTCAGCCGCAAGCTTGATCGACTTGCTTACATTGCCCACCCCAAGCTTGGGAAGCGTGCTTGTGCACGCATTGCCAAGGGGCTCAGGCTCTGCCGGCCAAAAGTCAAGGCCAAGTCCAAGGATCAAAACAAGGCCCAGGCTGCAGCTCCAGCTTCAGTTCCAGCTCAGGCTCCCAAAGGTGCCCAGGCCCCTACAAAGGCTTCAGAGTAGATATCTCTGTCTGCCAACGTGAGGACAGAGGGACTGGTGCGACCCCCCGGGGCTGCCATCTGCATGGGGCTGGGGTCCTCCTGTGCTATTTGTACAAATAAACATGAGGGAGGATTTGTTAAAACAAACAAACAAAAAAAAGAATAAAATTTACTACTGCAACTATAATAATCACAGAACTTTTCCCAATGATATTTGGCCCAAGATATACTGCTCCTTATTCACTTATCCATTAGAGACTCTAACTGAGAAGCAATTAATCAGTTTTTTTCAGGTGAGAAGAGAAGTTCTAATTTCATTATTCCTGTGTTCTTGAATTTACTTTTGGGAACTGTTTTAGACATTTTAAATTGATGTTTCTTTGTTAAGCTAAGTACTTGACAAGGTAGCACAAAGTAAATTTGCCATGTTTGTTTCTGGAACCTAGTAACATTGGGACTCTGGTGGCTAGGTATTTCTAAGAGAAAAGATGACTGACCCATTCAACAATTGGTTAGTGGATGATTATAATAGTTTTACTTTTCTGTAATAATTGCCTTGTATCAAAGTGGTTCCTGAGGCATTAAATCTCAAGGACGTCTATTTGGCCATATTTTCTTGTGGTATTTCAAGGCTACTGGTGATTTCAACAGTTAAGAAATTGAACTGTGTTCATGAAAATAAACATCAAAGTTTGTGGTAAGTCTGATACCTATCTAAATCATAAGCAAACTTTAAAAGACACTATTTTAAATAATATGATTTATCATCCTCATCATTGACATCATCATTATTAAAAGAGAAATAATTATAAATGACCAGAACTTTTATCATAATTAATATTCAGTTCATACTAATTCCAACCTCAAATTACTTCTCTGAAAATCTGTGGGATGTTGTAAGAAGTTAAAACAGTTGACTATAGCACATAAATGCTCTTCTCTGCCTTTTTTCCTCTTTTATCTCTACATCCTTTCTCCTTGGAGTTTTTCCTCTCAACTTATTCACTCATTTTAGTCTTTGATATTGCTTTTTCTCTCTACTTTTTAAAATGAAAATCCAAAGGGAAGTTTAGTTTACATCGGAAATATCTACATGCAGTATAAAGAAAAACATTATTTTTTGTAGTTGGAGCTTCTAAAATCCTTGGAAATGAAGATTTAGAAAGCTTCCTGGTTGGCGAACACACCAGACAAGCAAATTCTGAGAGATTTTGTCTAATGGGTGTTATGTGGTATCTTATTTTAGTTTCTATTTGCATTTCCCTAATGATTAGTGACATTGAGCATCTTTCCATGTGCTTATTGGCCATTTGTACATTTCTTTCTTTCTTTTTTTTTTTTTTTTTAGGAGGTGGATTATGTTACTCTAATTTAGAACTTAAAGTAATTTTTAAAATTTTTATATTAATTTTTTTAATTTAGAAAAAAGATACATTTTATTTATTTTTCAAATTATACTTTATGTTCTGGGGTACATGT